GGTGTAAGAGTGATACATTCCCAATATAGAATCAATTTTTATACTATGTTAATTTGAGTTTTCATTTTCCAAGTACTTCAAGATTTCCACACGCGTTGCTGATCAGCCTCCTTGCTCTCGTTTCCTATACACCCACCAATGCGCTGTTACCATGAGATAACATTAGCTTTTGCCCATTTCATAAGCTCTATTCTGAATCTGTTTCTGCTCTAGATGATACCTCCTCTACTTTCAAACCATGCTCTTTCTGGGTTTTTTTGTCCTCAACACTGCTGAACTGGCAAATGCTTTCCAGATAAGCTTGCCTGGTACCTGCAATGGCAGTTTATTTAGAGTCATACATAATACTTTAAGTCGAGTTTATTTAAATTGGTTCTGTGGTGTTTTCTATCATTATCCTCACTAAATCCCCAATACATGACATGCCAAATTCTCAACTCTCAAGAGCCACTAGTCCACTAAAATGAAAGTAGTGCTTCAATAGTGGCCAACAGACTGAATCCTGGTGCCTCTGGATCTATACCACTACCTTCAATGTATTCCTCAAAGCACTCTGAATACAGAGGCCCATTCACTAAGGCTACATAATACTGTATTCTGTAAACCACTAGATGAAAGTTTAAATTGTTATATCAAGCAAAATAATTACAGCAGTCACTTATAATATTGCCTGGTCTCACATTTCCTGTTCCATCTCCACTGAGATCAAAATGCATTGCAGACATTTATTGTGTTCATCACCCAAAGTACCGTCAAGTAGGCAAGACGAAATTGAGAATTTAGATGACTTCCTCAAGCAAAGCAAATCAGAGTGGCAAGTCAAGAAAATACAGAAATAAAAACTAATGATACGCCAGTCTTATATGTACTGCTGCTTGCCCAAGCCAAGTTACCAGAATGTTGAATGCTTCCAAGATGATTTCTGGAATACCTGTTTCAGCAGGGAACTTTTCTCAAATACTACACAAAAATAACATAAAAATGAATGCAAGTCAACTCTACAGGCTTTGAAATAAAACTCAACCATTGATTATTCTTACAGCTTCCTTTCCACCCAGAGCTTCCAACCACTGCTTCCTTTCCTCTTCAGAAAATGCCTGCATGGTCAAGGAAACGCCAGGCCTGAAAGACACCAGTAACAGATCAGGTTACCACTTGGCCACTAAAAGGCAAGTTTTTCCTAAGATTTAACTGTGGTAAGTTTTTGTGTTTTTATTTATTTATTTATTTATTCATTTATTTATTTATTTATTTATTTTTTACTTTTAACTGTGGTAAAATACATGTAACCTAAAGTTTATCATCTTAACCATTTTTAAGAGTAGAGTTCAGTGGCATTAAATATGTTCACAATGTTACATAACCATCACCACCATCCATTAACAGAACTTTTTTCATCTTGCAAAACTGAAACTCTGTACCCGTCGAACGGTAACTTTCAATTACTAAATAAAAGCCTAATATTCCATTGTGTGTGTATATACCACATTTTTCTTATCCATTCACAACATCCGGAGACACTTGGGTTCCTTCCACCTTTTGCCGGTTGCGAACAGTGCTGCTATGAAAATGGATGTACAAATATCTGTTTAGGCCCCTGCTTTCAATTCTTTTGGGTATATATCAAGAAATGGAATTATTGGGTCACATGGAATATACATATGAATATACAAATGGCAGAGAAGCATTAAGAAACGATGTACGCTATCAGATGTCATCAAGGAAAGGCAAATTAAAATGAAATACAAATTGAATACTACTCATTAGAATAGCCAAAATCCAAAACACTGACACCACCAAATGTTGAAGAGGATGTGGAGCAACAGGCACTCTTATTCACTGCTGGTGGCAATGCAAAATGGTACACTTTCAAAGTCTGGTTGTTTCTTACAAAAGTAAAAATACTCTTACTGTAGGACACAGCAGTCACATTCCTTGGTAGTTACCTAAAGGAGCTGAAAACTATGTCTACACGAGAACCTGCACATGGATGTTTATTCACAACTACCAAGTTTTGTTTGACTCACAACTGCCCCTCACTAGGTGAATGAATAAAACTGTAGTACACCCTGACGATGGAGTATCACTCAGTGCTAAAAAGAAATGAGCTACTGAGCCATGAAAAGACATGGAGGGAGCTTAAATGTATGCCACTCAGTGAAAGAAGCTTATCTGAAAAGTCTACATACTTGGCGATTCAAGTAGATGACACTCTGGAAAAGGTCAAACTACAGAAACAGTAAAAAGATCACTGGTTGCCAGGGACTGGAGGGAAAGGGATGAACAGGTGGAGCACAAGCTTTTTAGGACAGTGAAATCTTCTGTATGATACTAGAATGGGGGATACATTAAGTATACATTTGGGCAAACCCACAGAATGTACAACCCAAGAGTGAGCCCTAATGTAAACTATGAATTTTGGGTGATTATGGTATGTCAAGGCAGATTCCTCAATTCTAACAAATGCAGCATTCTGGTGGGGGTGTTGATAATGGGGAAGGCTATGCATGCGTGGGAGTTGGGGGGAATAAGGAAAATCTCTATCTTCCTCGTTTGACTGTGAACTGAAAACGACTCTTTAAAAAGTTGTCCTCAGAAAAGTTTTTTTTGAATGCAGAGTTGTCCTCTAAGCCGAAAAGGTGCATAGGAGACCAAAAGCACACTCCGGAGGAGTTAAGATCAGCCTCCTCACTGGCACCATGAGCCTGCTGGAGACTGGCACAACAGAAAGGTGCGGAGGCAGGCTGGAGTCCGGCCACACAGGGCCTCCCTGGCCATGTGGGATGCTTTGGCTCTGTGTCCCCACCCAAATCTCATGTAGCATTTGCAATTCCCAAAGTTGGAGCAGGGGCCTGGTGGGAGGTGACAGGATCATAGTAGACCTCCCCCTTCTTGTTTTCATGACAGAGTTCTCACAAGATCTTGTTGTTGGAAAGTATATAGCACCCCCCACTCCCCACCACCCTGCTTCCTCCTGATCTGGCCACGTAAGACATGCCGGCTTCCCCTTTGCCTTCTGCCATGATTGTAAGTTTCCTGAGGCCTCCCTACCCATGCCTCCTGTTTCTGTACACCCTGCAAAACTCAGTCAGTTAAACCTCCCTTCCCCTTCCCTTCTTTATTTTTGAGATGGAGTTTCGCTCTGTCTCTCAGACTGGAGTACAGTGGCGCAATCTCGGCTTACTGCAACCTCCGCCTCCCAGGTTCAAGCAATTCTCCTACCTCAGTGTCTGAGTAACTGGGATTACAGGTGCCCAGCCACTACGCCCAGCTAGTTTTTCTATTTTTAGTAGAAACACGTTTCTCCATGTTGGCCAGGCTGGTCTCAAACTCCTGACCAGGTCACTCCTGACAAGGTGATCGGCCTGCCTAGGCCTCCTAAAGTGTTAGGATTACAGGCTTGAGCCACCACACCCGGCCTAAATGTCTTTTCTTTATAAAATGCCCAATCTCAGGCAGTTCTTGTAGCAGTGTGAGAATGAACTAATACACCATGCTAAGGATTTAATTTATCCTAAGTGCCACTAAAGGTTTTTAGTAGGGGAATAGCCAGATCAGGTAAAAATTGTACATGAACAGTCTGGTTGCTGGGTAGAGAATGGACTGAAGATAGGCAAGACTTGACTGTAAAAAAAAATATTAAAAGACTAAAAGGATGATACAGAATGGCAAAAATGAAAAAAGAAACAATGAAGGTGCTCGGGAAATATTCCAGAAGTGCTTCTACATGCCATGGGCAACAAAATGATAAGTATGAAAGCTGTTGCTCCAAGAATAACAAATAGAAGACAGGTCAACTACAATATACCATCAGTAACTAGTAAAGGAAATCAGTGACAACCATGAACCAATGTAGCAAGTAAGGACCTAATACACTCTCAAAGTCAGACCATGAGTCTCAGGAAATTCCTTGTCCTCTCTAGTTCCTTTTTGTTTTCCCCTAAAGTTTTCCACTGATGCTCATATGTGGAGGAAAAATAATACTAACTCAAGATAGATGGTTGTATATTCTTCACCAGTGACACATACAGCAGCAAATAGAGATGCTGGACAGGAAGAAGAATGACTGATTCTAGTAACCTAAAACACAGAAATAACTGTTGAATGATGAAGGGCTTAAAGCGTTATGACTAGAAGTATAAATACTGAAGTAAGGGAAAAACCAATTATCAGGCTTCAGATCAAACAGCCATATTATTTCTGCTAAAAATCCAAAGAAGCATAAAAAGTAAAGTATTATTATATGTCTTGCCTCCAAGCACAATGATTCAAACTTGAGCCACACAGCCCTTTGTGGAAGGCAGCAGAGAACAATTTGTTGAAAGATGAGAGATTAAGTAGAAATGGATCATCCACAAGGAAAGAATTCCCTTTGTTTATATTCTGGCAAATAATGTAACAATAACTCAAAACAGTTCCCCTATTGAGAATTAACTCATCACACTATACATTCTTCAGAACACTTCACACTTGCAACGCATTACTTTTACATTAAAGGGATCAGCCACCAGTATTAGGTAAGGCTGGGTTCCCATCCTCTCACAAAGACTGCTCATATTCATTTTCTTACTGACTCCCTGCTTCTAAAGCATTAGTGTTGGAAAAATAAAACATGTGCTAGAACATGTTTCAACGATTTCGAATTTCTCAAGTTTTTCTTTTCTAATAATCAATTGCTAGGACATCACTAAGAAAGAACAAGACTTTGAGAAACACTGGACACATTTCAAACTGCAGAATCAACAGCATCACACTGTTAAACCAAAACATAAAAATTCTGTAGTTTTGGAAACAAATGACATATTTTATTAATAAAATTTAATGGATGTAAAGGAAATACGGTGAAATCTCAGAAGAGTAAAGAACAGAAAACTTCACAAAGTATATTGGATTATTCGCATTTAAATAAAAAACAAACTTTGGGAAGCTGAGGCAGGAGGATTGCTTGAACCCAGGAGTTTGAGACCAGCCTGGGCAAAATAACAAGAACCTGTCTCACGGCGGTTTTGTTGTTGTTGTTGTTGTTGTTGTTGTTAATTTATTTATAGATAGACAGAGAAGTGTGGAAAGGAAGGAAGGAGGGAAAAAATACCAATCATATATTCGTTTGATGGAGAAGCTAAGATAACATTAGTGACTCCATTAGAGAAAGAATTATAACTGAGAAAGTTCTGATTGGGGGTTGTTGGAACCATATTGCTGCAATGGATTATACTGGTTCATCTGAGAACACTGCCATTTTCTTACTCACCTAATAATTCATTTCAACCAAACTACAATCTGAGTACCTACTGAGTTCCAGATACCATTTTAAGCTCTGGATAACTCATCACACACAGCAAGTCAGAACTGATTCCTGATGAATACAAAGGCAAAAGTATAAATTTCGTGAAGGAAAAAAATAAACCAGGTGAAAAGGGGCAAGCTGCCAGGATAATCTTTATCTAAAACCCTACTTATTATCTGTAGTACGTAAGTTTGGGAATTGGAATCTGAAGAAACAAACAAGTTCTTCAATTCATAAATTCTTTCTAAAAGAATTCCTAAGAATAAAAGAACTTAAGATCATAAATCAGCATCTCAACCTCTTTCTTTCATTCATTCATTCAAAAAAATACAAATACAAATACATGCTATTACCAATCAGGCACTACCCTGAGCCCAAGCATAAGAAACTGCCTATTATCTGTATTCTACATTTCACTCCATATCTATTTAAGTCTCTTTCAACTGCATGTTCTATAGCTCTATCAAACCACGTAGGAGACAGGTTTTACCCTTGCGTTGTAAGTGACAGATTACTGAGCTTATAAATTTGGAAAATACACAAAGAAAAAAGCAGAGAAAAACATTCACAAGTCTAAGGAGACATTATTGTAAATAGAGGAGCTATTAAGTGAATAAACAAAGAAGCAGGTACCAAAACTTATAATGGTAACAATCAGGAATATTCTATTGCTTTCCTAAGAGGAATGTTGAAAAGGAAAAAGAAAAAAACCAAACCAGCATGTAACAAGTTCTGCCCTACATTTTATTATGAGAAGGGGAAACTGCTGAAGCCAAAAAATGTTTTTAAAGTTATAGAAATGTAATCAGTTTCTCATAGGGTTTCTGGGAAAAAA